GTTCCGGCGTGTTGCACAGAACCCCACCCTGTTTTGGCTGGGCACCCTGGTACCTTTCAGATTCAATTCTTCCTTCGGTTGTACCTTCTGTCGACCCAGGCAGACCGCAGCGATGTGGCCCTTCTTTCCGCACGCTCGGCAAATGGCGGAACGGAACCGACATTCCGCTCGCTTGTGGTGTCCACCACATCCGAGGCAATGAAGCTCAGCTGGGCCCTTGTCCTGACGATCTTTGGACCTCCTCCCAGCTGCTTGGTAAAGCTTGTCCACCTCTTCTTCAGGATCTTCTTCCGACTCCTCGCGCACGTCTTCCTTGTGAATAGTGGCAGTCTCTGGAACGTTTCGCTTAGGCCGCATGTTCTTGACTGCCCCACCTGCAGCTTCTTCAGCCGAAACCTCTCGCAGAGCATCTTGGAAGGAGACATCTTCCCTGGCGAACAGTCTCTGCTGTAATTCTGTGTTCCTCAGTCCGCACACAAAACGATCGCGCAGTCTTTCCTCTAAGTCCTTGAAGTCGCACGGTTTAGCTGCTCTTCTCAAGGCCACAACGTATTCTTTTGCTGATTCTCCAACTCGCTGATCTCTCTGTTGAAATGTGTGCCTCCAAGCCATGACAGATTGCTTGGGCTGGAAGTGTTCCTTTAAAGTTTTTTTTAGATCGGAGTATGATACCGTTTCCAGCAAATCCAGGGCGATTAAGCTCTTGGCGATCTCAAAGGCGTCTTGCCCACAAATGCACAACAATGTGGCAGCCTTTAAGCCTTCCTCCCGAATCTGGTTTATGCAGAAATACGTCTTGACTCTTGCAACATAAGATTCCCACCTCTCGGGGTGAGAGACGTCGAATTCCGCTAAACGCCCAACTTTCGCCATGATCGAGGATCAGGTCTTCTTCAGCCGCACGCACCCTCCAGCGATTTTGTACTGGCAGGATAACGCTGACTTCCACGCCGTTTTCTCTTCCGGACTTCTTTGGGTGAGTCTTCAAGCTTTCCTAGCTGTATAGACTGGATCCCATCCTCGTCGCCAGTGTTAAGTCCGGAGAATAATGGCGATTGAGACGAAGCATTTCTAACAAGTCTTTATTCTCTGCTTCCATTCTACGAACAACCTGAGCAGAGGCACGCAGGCCTCCATTTATACCTTCAGATCCCCGGGCAAATTCAACCAATCACAATACGATCTTTTCCCGCCTTGCGCATGTGCGCAAGGTCGGCGCCACTCAGTCTGGTCCCGGGCAGCTTCTGCAAATGCCCGGGACTCTTGCAATGTCCCGAGCCTGCCTTTTGCAGGCTCAGGACACAACACTATGCATTGGTTCTTTTTATCCACTTTAATATTAATTTTAATGTTTTAACTTTTAATACTCTATGTTTTATGTTTTAATCTTGTAATTGTTATGTTTTGTTATTTATGGTATTGAAAACTGCCTAGAGTTGCTCGATAGTGAGATGGGCAGTATACAAATTGATTGATTGATTG